CAGAGTATGGTAAGAGGATCTTGCTGCCCCACCGTGGAGTTTCAGCTGTGTGCTGGGGAACTGAAACCCAGGAAGAGGGGAAAATGCAACTGAAATGGGCGTTGGAAGAGGCGCAGTGTGAGCTGGTTATAACTTGGGCAGAACACTGAAGTCCCTGCTTGGTTGCAGTGTTGGTAATAAAGCCTTTCCTCTGCTCTCTTCAGGTACGGCTTTCGGAGACCTCCCTACCTGGAGCTAAAAGCTCGGCCAAAGCTTGGTGAGAGAGAAGTGACCCTGGTCCATGTAACTGACTGGATAGAGAAGAAACTGGAACAAGAGTTTCAGGTATGTTTCTTTGGTAACATTTTCATTTAGTTAATGATACTTTTGGTTTAGAGTCTCTTTTTGTTTGGTTGGTTTTAAGTCTGCTGTTTCATTCAGGACTACTGAATGAAACTCTGGGAGAGAATCACTTATTTGGAAATCTGCTGTGTTTAATTGAACAAATCAGAAAACTGAAGGTTTAGAGTGACAGATGAAGTGTAACTTAATTTAACTCCCTCTTTTTCACAGAAAATCTTTGTCATGCCAAACATGGATGATGTTTATATTCCTTTAATGCACTCAGCCATGGATCCCCGCTCTTCTACATGCCCTCCTAAAGATCTGACCACGGAGGACCCTGATCAACCATGACATGTGAAGACTCTTGTGGTTTACAGTATTACAAAATTTATTCTCATGGTTTTATGAACTGTGCTCTAGTTCTCATCCTTAACTTGTGCCACTTTTTTTTTTTCCCCTCTCCCCCCAGGCCCAAGAACTGCCTATGACCATAACCATACCTTTGTGCTCACTTGCCTGGTTATAGTTCCTGTGTCCTTCAGCTAGATGAAGTTTCATTCCATTTAGCAGTTGATTTATTTTGCTGCTGTAAGGATTTTAATGTGGAAGATAAAATGATCTATTCTTTGGGGGAGGAAAAAATCTGGCTGTCACAGATCAAGGAGCTTGATGATACACCTTTTGTTCAGCTAGTATTTTCATGCTACATTAATGTGCATTATAGCCTTGAAAGGTTGTTTGGCAGCAAAGGAACTGCATGCCAAATAGAAAAAATCCTAAGTAAGGAATGAATTTATAAAACTGGAAGAATATTTTTTTTCTTTCTCAGGCAGTTGGAGGTGTAGAATGAACTGTTTTATGTTCTTTCACTTCTGCAGTCAATAGCTTGTGTCAAGCGATCGAAATATAAGATGCTTTCAGGAGAAAAGAATGTAAATTGGATGTATAGGTAATATTGTGATTCAATGTGGTATATACATATTGCTTTTTTCATATGGAACTTGTGCTTTTTTTGGGGAAGCAAGTAGCCATAAAACACACACATACAACTATCAGTGAAGGTGGGGACTGTCACTTTTGTGACTGAGATGAAAGTTGGCAAAGCCATGAGACCAAACTATAGCAAGCCGCCTTATAGTGAGGTACAATCACCACGGTCCATGATTAATTCTGAATGTTTAAAGACATGAGCACACACATAAAATGTCTAATACTGCACATGACCAGAAGTACTTAGTTACCCTACTGTGTATAGAGCCTCTTGCTACAATGAAACACACCAAGTTTCTTTTATAAATATATATATATAGGAGAGTTTGTTGCTGTGAGTCTCTTCCATTGCACTGTGTTTACCTGCAAAGCATGGGACCAAACTCTCATCTGTTACAGCCATACAACTGCACTGACTTCAAATCACTTGATGTTTGTGAAAATAGAGCTGTAACTGAAAGACTTTGACCCCTATGCGTTGGTTTCTTGGCGTTTGTGAAATAGGAATTCAAGCATTTGCAGTTGTTCAAGCTGATCATAAGCTGGTTGTGATGTAATTAAAGACTGTTTCTGCTAATTAATGGCCAAAACTAAAGGGGGAGGAGGAAACTGCCTTTTATTTCTATCTGGTATGATGATTCAGGAGTAAATGTATGCATTAAATGAAGATTTGAACACTACATATCCACTATTTAACATGTGTAACATTTTTCTGAACTCAGTGTTGCCAACTGTTCATGGATGTCAGAAAACATTTTAGTTTACAGAGAAGGTGAGTTTTGACTCTCCTTTTATAACATAATTTGTTTTTTCTTTTTAAAAGTAATTTTTTAAGAACTCTTTTGTATGTTGTGTTGTCACATTTGATGTAAATCAAAATTTCCATGTGTAAGTTGATGATTTACCATCTCTAAATGAAGATATTATATTGAAGGTTTTTTAAACAGCACCTTGCCTGAAACATAAAAGAAAACTAGCATTTAATATATTTAAAATTAATTCTATATTTGAACACCTATTTTGGTTACCTTTAATTGAAATTAGTAGGTTATATTTGTTACCTGAACTCCTCCTTGACCATTCCAGGCTGTGTATATTCTGGATTTTGCTCTGATTATGTAGGCATTATTTGCCTTTCATGAAGTCTGCATGTCTTGTACGCAGGTCTTTTATATGATTTAATTTCTATGTGCAATAACTGAAGTCAAAGGACTAGATGCACTAATGTGTAAACAGATTTAGACTATTACACAAGATTGTCATATTGCACTTCATAAACTGTGGGTAACTACAATCTGCTTGCTTTGTTTTATTAAATAAATTTATCCCCTGTGAAACAATTACTCAAACTTATTTCTCCGCAATGCTTGGCCTCTGTCTTCTGCAAGTTATTTCCAAAGCTTCTTAAGATTAGTGTCAAAGAGTGAGGTTTTTCAGATTTTCCTTCTTTTGTTGTACCTGAGTTGTACCACATGGTTATGGGTTCTAATTTTAGGAATAACAGATTCCAAAACTGTGCCCAGTTCTGAAAGTGGGATAAAGCTACTTCATCTAAAGCTTCTCTTAGAGTGAACATAAACTCAGGCTATAGTGAGTGTTTATTATACACAAAGCATTAAAGGACACTTTGTTTTGCAGAAGCTACTCCCCTTTCACTGCTTTTGCCAAAATACCCCAATACCCGGCTCTGAGGGGAAACCAGGTAGCTCTGCTCAGGAGCTCATTATCAAAGCCTGGACCTTTACATCTTTCTTTTAAATTCTCTTTATGAGCTGGACCCTCCCACAGCAAGGAAGGGGCCAGGGCCTAGGCTGCTTTAAGTCACACTGCAGAGTGCTGAGCAACAGTGAATAATTCAGCCACACAATCCCCTTTTACCTCAGTATTACCCCCGGCTCTGCCCCCCGGCCCCGTGTCCCCCGAGCTGGGCCCGAGCAGCCCCCGGCCACCGTCGCGCAGGGGCAGGCGCCCTTTTGCGCGACGGGGGGGCGGGTCGGGGCGGGCT